ATGTCCCTTTTGAGCCCTCATTGGGCCATGTTTACGACGTTGAAGTTGCCTATCTCGCAGACGAGTCCGTTAGATAGTGACTTCTAGAGCCATGTATCGCTCATTTACGACGTTGAAGTTACCTATCTCGCAGACACGGCCGTTAGATAGCTATGTACCGCTCAGTGTACCGCCCAGATGATGCAAACGATGCAAAGCAGAAACTTGCATTTCTTGCATCACTAAAGGCTTCAGGTTAGCGCAAATTTATCTTCCAGCATTTTAAGCCGATCCCAAAAACATCAAAAAGCACAGGATTCTAGAGCGAAAGTGCCCCCCCCCCCCTAGCTAACGCTATAGTACTTGCGGTACTTGCGGTATAACCCGTGCCCTAAAGCTACGCCTCGGCACCTTCGGTGCGGGCGGATTCGTAAATATTAAATTTAGCTGGCTTCTGTATCAACATACGTCCTTCACTGAATCATTGCACGACAATCGAACCGCACCCATGTCACACTGAAGCATGCAGGACTTTTGCAGCAATGAGGAGCTTTCAAGGCTGCTGCTCTCCTGGAGCTCCCGAGTCACGAACATTCAGGCCGTAGAGTGCAAAGTCTGAATGGCCTTCGGCAAAGCTGCACTGGATATATTACAAGTGCACTCAGCAAGTATCAGTATCGGAACCACGTAAACACTTATGTCTTTTGTCATATTACAAACTATTCCAAGCACATGCTTGCCGAACCATATGTCAGATACACGTCTATATACACGTTTATGACAAACATACTGCGGAGTGCGTGGAAGATGTCAAAGCTGTAGAAATTTGAATTTAAGATTGCGATCAAGCTAGTATACTATTGCGGGTTATGCCGACCAAGAGTCTCGGGCAATGGGAGGCACGACTTTGACCCCCGCAAACCAGGATCGCATGATTTACGGGCTTTGATCGTATCAAGACCTTTCAGACTTTATCAAGATGTGAACGACCGATGTAACCACTTGCCGTCCATCACTTGGAAAGTTGCCGGGCACTGGAGCATCCATGCGCAGGGGCTGCCCTGGGAACGTCATCCTTCCGCACCAGAGGTGTTTGCGATGGATGCTGATGACTCACCCAGGCCAAGATGACGAGATGGAAGTTGAAGTACTGTAAAAGTAAAACACCTGCTGGATGGAACGCAGAAAGGGTGTCATTGAGACAAAGTTCAGTGATGCACTTCAGCACTTTTCTCAGTCTTTGCCAGTCTAGAATGCATTTGTGCCCTTTCTGCGCAGGAGCGGCAGTTTCAAGGAGGATGACGACATTCCAACAGCCTCAGCTAGTGAGGCACTGTTTTGGGACGATACGGACCTTCAGAACACTGAATTGTATCCTTTGCTTGTGGAGAGGGTATCATCCTAATTCTTTTCTGCATAGACTAGGGCTGCTTGCAGCCAGTAACTAATTCGGGGAGCCATTGCTGAGACCCAAAGCGACAGCAGAGTAAATTAAGCAGGTAGCAGGTCGCAGCACAACACAATGGAGACAGGAATTTGGGAAGGGGGTATGCACCCAGAACGCAGGTCCAGATGGAGTGTATATGGCTTTGAGAACGCCAGTCGTGCAGTTAAAGCACAGCTATTCCCTTTGTGAGGGTGCCAGATCTCAAACATGCAGAGCTGGGTGCACGGTAATGAAAGAGTGGGAGGTGCATCATGAGAAGTGAAGAATCACGGAGAACAGGGGGAAAACCATCGATCTCAAGACAATGCATTTGCATATATAGTACTGAAAAAAATGAGCCGACATGAGCAATCATAGTTTTGACAAGTTTAGAACCAAAGGGATGAAAGGAGGGTGCAGGTTGCACAGTCAAAATCAATGGGCTGCACTATTGAGGAGGCAAAGCACCATTCTGGATTGAAGGCGTTAAAAATAAAGGAGGAAGAGTGAGCGTAGGGTTGGTAGAGCGATGTCGTATGATGTCGTGCATGTTCTTCCGAATAACTCCGACCCGAACTTCTATACTGCTATAATTTTGATTGTTGATGAACTAGGTAACTAGAGCAAAGAAATGTAAAGACGATTGAGCAGATGAAGTCCTACTTCCGAAGTGGGGTGGACCAAGGTTTTGGCATGTCCAGCTGATGTCCGGTCGAGGCACCTCAAGAGATGCCCGGGTCCAGTGAAGAGAAGCTGCTGAGTATCGCCCAGGATGTTGGAGGCTGTGTCGGACCAGAACACTGAGCTGTGGTGTGAATTGGTTCATTTAGTTTACCATCGCTTTCTTTGTGACCTTATTTGTGACCTTATGTAACCGTCAATTTTGGTTGTTTTTGCATGAGTATTGTGCGTAGGGCTGTCATTGGGTGATGGTTTGACTGCACTGCAAGGCATGGGACCATACGATGCATTATAGAATGCCATCTCCACAACCATATCACCGATTCTTTTTACTCCAGCTGCAGGTGGGAAAACTCTTCGTGAACTATTGGAAGGTCGAGCAGATCCTAATTGCCGCAATTTTATGCAGGCTCGCTCTCAAGATAGTTGGTTGAAGCGGCTTGAAGTATCAGTTGCGTGCAGTTTCTGCAAGGGGATTTAGTGGAGTTTTCATCAGGAGGCAGTTCTGCTCCTGGCAGTGCGGGCATCTTCCCAGCGGAGAGGAGAGTGTTGAAATGGGGAAGCGGCTCACAGGCCCCGGCTGACCAGATGGTACGAAGTTATCACATGTGGCCACCTTCGTCATGGGGTGACTAGAGCTCTCGTGCTGGTTGGGGGTTGGCCTCTCGCTTGGCCCTTCTTGCTCATGCTGACTCGTTGCTCCTACAAACTTGAACTTGAATAACCTTGGTCTTAAATATACAGTATGTTATATCTATATACTTCGCACTCGATGGACTCTTTGGTATTCCGTTACCTGTGTTGAGCGCTGCGAAAAGAACGGCAGAAACCCTTCATAGAAGGTGAAGGCGCTGTCCTCGATATGATCAATATGGAAAAACTGGTATTGTTCGGACCTTCGGAAAGGAATTTCAGAGTTGACAACGCAGGCCTCAAAGCATGGTTCCCAAGTAGTTACAATCCCGAAATGATCACTCACACTGATTTTGGGGCGTTTGCTACGCTGTTAGAGGATGAGGAGGTGCCAATGGTTCGTTTTCGCATTCGAAGCTTGCCAGACTAGGACAACAGTCAGATGCAGAGCGTTTGGAGTCAGTGCGCATACTGCTGCACTGCCGGGCAGACCCGACGCTCGACTACATCCTTGCAGTTTGGTGTGAAGGAGGGGCATGTGACTACTCACCAAGCAGCAGGAGTAGAAGAGCCAACACTGGGTTTTGTGTTCATTTCATCAGTGGTTTGGTAAACAGTGATGCAAGACAAAGCGGCAGTGTGTACCATCAATGCATTACCCTGACCCATGTTGAGGACATTGTTTCTGCGGAAACGATATGGTCCCCACCAAAAACGATACTCTCATTAAGGTGTATATACTGGGTACGAATACGTTTGTTGTTACAATGTTTTGTTGCATTTGAATGTGTGTTTGAGCTAAACCAATTGGCGAAGCTGTTCATCAATGATTCGCCTCACCTTGCCTTTAAACCAATTGCATTCTGTTGAAAAGACCTGACCAGATTTGTCTTCGGAAGATGTTACTTGAAAAACAACTTCCCAAACGATAAGCGAACGACAACCTAAATGTCACGTCCGGCACTCTGTAAACCTGCTTCTCCGCGTGGCATAACTAGTGACTAGATGTGACTAGTTTTTGTGCTTGGGCCGAGTTCCTAGGTCCTCGCTTATGTGTTGTGATCCTTGCACAGCCCAGTGCCGCAAGACAAGTGTTGTCCCATTTCTGTGCAGCAAACACTGTAAGCCTCTAATCTGAGGTTGCGAGTTGTATCTTGTGTTTTAGTCTATGGCCGGTGTGCTAAGTCTGGGTTGAAGAAACATTGGAAAACGATAGTGCCGACCGCACCAAAAACGATATTCATGTCAAATGGCATTTGGCTACACAAGTAATTTTGTTTGCTGCTCATATGCCAAGGGACGTCAATGACGACCAAGGGGAGACGCCACTGATGGAGGCAGTTAGCGGCGGGGTGTTTGTTGGTAGGCCAGTCAGATGTTGCCTGCACACCTCAGCCGGAAGCACAGAGCCTGGAAGGGTTTGTTGCGATGTTTTGGGAGTGGATGCTGGATGTTGCTGAACCCTGCTCAAGGCGATGTTGAGCTGCAGAATTTATGTAGCCGATAGATTCTTGAGCAGATGTAGACTTTAGTGCCCGACAGATCCCGACAGTTTTGACCAATTTGGCACTTTGACAGCATGAAACCAGGCGGCCTGCTTGGGAGATCTTCCAATTTGCCGCTTGCTGCTTGAGAAGCGCGCGTCTTTGACTCACGCCAGTGCTACAGGCGCTACAGCGTGGCTTGCTGCAAAGAAGTGTTTTGCAGTTGTGCCTTTGTTCAGTCGTCGGGGACGTCGCCGCATTACAACCTGCAACGTGTATGGTGTCCCTATTTTCAGTTTTTCCCAGAAGTTTGTCACATGTTTTCCCAATATTGAGGGAGAAACTAGACTCCTTGAGGCTTGAGCCCTTCATTTTGTTCATGGAACATGAAGTGCGCCCTTGTAGCTGGCAAAGCTTTGCCAAGGATTTGCTGGTACCGAATCCCAGACACGTGCAATCTTTGATTGTGAATGCTAAGGCTCCAGTTTGCTCAGGAGCATGACGACGTTCTCAGGCTGGAGCAGCTGATTCGCCGGGCCACAGCAGTATGGCGTTGAGATGTTAAAAGTATGTGCATGATTGGCATGTCACAATCATATGCTTGCCATATTATGATAGATCTGATAGTCGTCCAGCGTCCTTACGGATATTTGCCCCAGGCGCTGATCCGAAGATTCGCGGGGGCTGTGATTTGTGAGTAAGACCTAAGAGCGTAGGCTTGGGAAGTCCAGTCGAAGAATTTGAAGAGTTCCCTTTGCATCGGCGTTTCCTTTTTTGTGTCCCTGCCAACCTGTCCTGAAGAATCTGCTGCAGGTGTTTTCAAGCCATGCATTCTGGCTTCTCAGAAGAGGCGACTCGGCATGTGCTGAAAACAGTCTGAAAACAATGGGAATCAAGATTGCCCAAAATTCATCGTAGTAGCAAGGACGCTACCAGGGTGGAGGCCATTACAGTACTACTAGCAACAAGAAGCTACTACTGTAGTAACAATTCCGCTTGGATGCTGAGAGTGCTTAGCTGGTCCCCAATCAAGCCCAACACAGGGAGGGGAAAGCTGAAACATCGATGTAGTTGTCGGAGCGTTGCTGTTGATTGCTGTGCATGCAGCTTCCTTCAACACTTGTTTGAGGGCACAAATGGCCCAGGTTACTTAAAACCAATGGTGCCTTGCAATTGTCATGGTTTGCATGCATTGTTTAATATATATTGTGATGAAGGTGTTGCAGCCTACGAAAGGAATCATCCCAACGAGGCCTCAAGTTGATCTGGGCCTTGCTCAGGAAGTCGAGCGTGAGCAGGGCCAGCAGGAAATAACAGAAAATCTGAAGCCAGAGGCACGCTCGGGGATGAGAAAGCTGCAAAACTTCTGAATTGTGTTACTTTGCCAGCGATGAAAGCCATTGGTGCAAGTGTCATCAAGTGTCAAGTGTCAACTTGTCTTACTCAGACCAGAATCAGGTAGCGACTTGTTTGTGTGACCAGCTGTATGAGAGGCATTTTTTCCAGAGTGGCTGAGAGGCCAGGCCTTGCGTGGCTGCCATCAGACCAAGACGGTGTTTCGAGTTATTTGTGTAGAAAAGAATCGAAGGGGAAATAACAGTTGTATACTGTAAGGTCCGATTGTCTGACAGTAGTCGAAAAAACACAAAGAAAGGGGCACATGTTGTGGACACGCCGCATTCCTGAAACATCCTGGCACCCTGGAGGTGCTGATGCAGATTATGCCGATCCGACAGCCACTGCAGCAACTGATGCAACCGCCAAGGCTGTCCGTCCACCAGCGGTTAGAACACTTTGGGAACTGGCTGCGCTACAGGATGCACAAGCCATTCGGGAGTTGTCACCTGGCAGCGATCTTGAAGACTGACTTCAAGAAATAACAACACGTGCAGTAATTGGTAAATTACGGCAAAGTAGTGGACTTGCTTCGGGGAGTTGTCATTCTTGACCTTCTGCTTGTGAAATGTCAGGTCTTTCAGTGAGAGCATCAATATCAATCAAGTGGACGCAGACGGCTACACCGCACTCCATGTTTCTTTATTTTCTCCTTGTCTTGATGGAGGAAAAGCTCAGAGACTCAGGTTATATAATAAAGAGAAAGAAGATGGGAACAGGCATTCTCAGGCACCGTAATGTTTACCGTAAATTTGTGACAATATATTTTTGTTTTACTGTAGTTACTTTTGTATCACAGTATGAAATATATATATATGTCTGTATCTATATATATATATATGTGTGTGTATATCTATTTTGGGGGGAGGGGCGCTGGGCTAGTTAGCTAGTACCTACTAGTAGCTCTAGTAACGCCTAGTAAGATAGCTCACGCACTATTCATGTTAGGAAACATGTGCCGCAAAACAAGTTCTGAAGAAGCAAAGAAGGTCTTTGGACCCCTTAGAGTTTCAGTGGAAAGGATTTCTTAATGTTTGTCACAATCTCCAGGTCTTCAGCTGTCATTGCAATTGTTCATTCAATACGCGTGAAAGATTTCGGTGCACATGCACTGCTCAGGGAGCAAGCAACACATTCCGTGCCAGTAGTCGCATAGTCACATAGTTAATTTAGCAGTGAAAAGGTGCTAGGTTGCCAGAACTGAGGATTGATACAGTTCGATGCTTGCTGTTGGTGCGGGCTGATCCCAACTTCAGAGGAGGGAAAGAATTGCCACTGAAGGTTGCCGCAGAAAGCGTGCTTCCGCCTACGCGACTGGCACCTTGCATTCTTGTTGGGTGATGTTTTTCACAACTTCTGACTTTGGGAATCGAAAAAGGCTTTTCACTACTCTTGGCGGAAGATTGACAACGCAGACCATGGACGTTGGGGGTGGGATTAGTAAGCCTGGAGAAGCAGATAACAGTGTTCCTTTTCCTGACCCCCCCAGGCAGTTGTGCATTTGTGTTTATGATAGTCAATGTCGGTCAGTGGTTTTCATTGACAATTACATTGTGGGCTCTTCCGCGCAAGGATTTTACATATGAAGCAGGATATTATTGTTAAAATCCACTGGACTTTGGCTTCAGGGCACACATTCTGCACACAGCACATGCTGCTGAGAGCAGAAACACGTTTGGCAAGTTGTTCCTGATACCTTCAACCAAATTTTGTGCCTTGGGCGACATCATGCAAATGCTGCTTCGAGAGGGAACAGCGCGGGGAATGCTCACGTTCAGCTGGGGAAGAAACACTGTCGTTGCGACATGTTGCGACTGATTAGCATGATTTAGCGCCTTGGCCAAGGAAGTCATGCGCCTCCTACTGGAGGCTCGTGCGCAAGCAGCGACAAGTGATGAGGAGCCAAAGCCTAAGCCGCCGAAGCAGCGCAGCTCTGAAGCCAATGCAGAAGTTTCTGCTGATTTGCAGCTGGGTCTGAAAAGGTTTGAAGCGCACATGGGCCTTGTAGGACAAGCTGTTGGCTTGGCCATTATTAGCTGAGAGCCTTTTTGAGGCTTTTCGAAGCAGCTGAAAGCCACGCAGCCAAGCGACTCTCGCTACTGACAGATCCAACACTTGCAAACTGCTGCGATGCTGATGGCCACAGCTTGCTACATCGCTGCCGCATGGATTGAGGACTTATAGACAGTAGGAGCACCGTAGGGGGATGACAGTACGGATCGTTGGCATCGTTACCTTCGAATCTGAGGTCTCATGGCGCCACCCTTTGACATGAATGGACAAGAACAACTTGTAGAAACCGTCAAGGTGGGAATGGTGTGCCAGACATAGCCAGACTGGTCCTAGCCTACCTGCCTCCTCAAAGCACTCCTTGAAGCAGGATCCACAAGAACCAACCTCTAGCGGCTAGCATATAGAATCCCGGATGAACAAAAAACAGCGACCTAAAGCACAATTTGCTAAGTTGTCCTGTGGATTTATACAAATCCCAAAAGTGTCGAATCGTGTTTGTTGTATTGTCACGTTTGGCAGGCTCTTTTGACAAGTCGTGCCACTCCGAACAAGCAAAATGCACGTGGAGAGTCTCCTCTACTTCTTACAGTGCGGGGCTCATCCTCGGGGCGTCTCAAGGTGCTGCGGCAACTGATGAAAGCCAATGCAGATAGCAATCTGGGAGATGCGCAGGATACACTTTCCATCGTATGGACCACGTGCATCGAAATTGCGGCAAGTTGCACTTTGTGCATGCTGTGCTTTTTATAATGATTAGCTTGAAAGTTGGGTGTAGGGTCCTGCATTCTTGCCAGGACACCACTCCACTCATCGAGGCAGTGCGCTTTGGCGACCTTGAGGTGTGCCGCTTGCTGTTGGATCGGGGTGCCGATGCACAGCTTCGTGGTGCTCATGGATTGAGTGCAGTGGACTTGGCATGGCTGCTTGGCTTGCATGTCCAGACGCTCATCACTTTTTTAGAATGATTAGAAAGGCTTCGATTTGCATTTGAGTTGGATTCGTAGCTTTAAAGAGGGCAATGGATGGCATATGGCAAGACTTACTGTGTATTTGTAATTCACGGCGCTCTACTTGCCTCTCACGAACTTACGTTGAGGTTTGGCATGTTGAGAAATGGCCCCTTAGGTTGATACGTGTAGTAGCTTTGGACTATTTGCAATTTGCATTCCATCAGATAGTTTGCCACAACATCTGATCAGCATAGCCTGGAGATGTTTGTACGATACTGCACGGCAACTGCAGCCATTCCCCAAGTGAACCTCGTTGAGTCTAAGTTCGTGGATGGTTTTTCATCTTCCATTCCAAGTCCATAATATTACGCAATATATTATGTGTGTGTGTGCTTCCTGTCAGGCGATCATCCTCCAAGATGCGAGAAGTCTTTGAAAGTCAAGGCTTGAGCCCACAGGACCGGGCAAGCTGGCAGTCTTCCAGGAAAATGCCCGAGGCACTGGACAACACCATGAGAAACAACGAAATAACAATTTTCATCAATTTTCTACCCACAGTAAACAACTAGTTGAGTGTACTTGCTTCACAGCAAGAGTCCTGGATTGCCATTGGTTTGGTTGCACTTCTCAGTTTTAGAAATTATGGTGTTGAATAATCCTTATGTGCATATCCCAGCGCCCAAGGTAGTAACAATGTCTGGTTTGCTGTCATTGCCAATTCTCAACAGCAGCGACAAGGGGATCGACAGAGTTCGGCCCCACCAAGATGAAAAACAGACCTTGCACTTCCACTCAGCTGATAACATAACTTACTTTTGTTCATCAGAGGACTGCACGGCGCAGCCAGAAGGAGGAAGTGTGGAGCTTTCTCTCCGCCATGCATCTACCCAACTCGAACGAGTGATCTCTGTGCCAGCAGACGCCTCCATCCGAGATGTCAAGAAGATGTTTGTGCGGCCCCGTGCAGAATTTGTCCTTGTTGTGGTAGGGGTCTTCAATGGTCTTGCATCATGTCGGGATTTATGATGGTAATTATGTCATGGTTTACTATACCGGATAACAACATGATATTCCGTAATCACTATCCGGGCTATTTCAGGTCCTGTGGCACATGGGTCCATGAATTTCAGGCTAACTCAGCGTGGTTCCTGGCGTCGGCTGGCTCTCCTTTGCGACGACACTGGGCGATTGCTCCGGGATGGCGATCCATTGGGGGTCCGACGCCGGCTCCTGGTGGCTGATGCCAAAGCAATCCCTACAGAGGAAGAACTGCCAGAGGAGGAGCTTCCAACATAGACTTTGGACAGAGGGACCTTTTCCAACCCTGCCAATCATTGGCAAAAGGTTGAATCACAGGTGTCACTCGTTTGGAGCATTTGATCATCCACAGACGTCCGTGGCTGTGAGGAGCAATGGTTACGATGGACGTTAGAGGAGCTGCAACAAGAAGCTCAGCAACGGGGGCTTCGACTTGTGCATGCTACTCGCGAAACCTTGCTGACATGTCTCCACCAGGTTCGCGCCTCTTGGGCACGTCTTCCCATGAGGCTGAGGCTTCTCATGAAATGACTTGGTAAGAAGGATCTAGAAAATTCTAGAAATATTGAACTATCTCTCTCTCTCTATCTCTGCGGGTGCATATATATATATATATATGCATAACAGAATGATTTTGGAGCATGTGATGGATTGTATGTTCAATCATATTACATCCATATATATATATACCCGCAGTATGTAACTGGAGGGAGATGCCCCTTACATCCCGCATCGTAGGGATAGGTGAACAACAGAAGCAAGATAGAGAGCCGTGATCAGCCGTGCTTCCCAACAGCGACCAGGCGAGGTCATGGGAGGCACTCTCTTCCGGCGATCTTCGACAAGAGTCAATGCGCCGAGGGCTGCCCGAGAGCTGCGACCGCAAAGAAGTCTTGCACATGCCCCTAGCCTTTGCAAAGTTTTTGCCTTTCGGGGCCCTACCAATGATAAGAAACAGCCTTTGCAAGTCACAACCAGAACAAACCCAGTTTGGGGAGAAGATTCAGATTCATGCTCCTTCAGTTAGCTCTGACCTTTCAGGCTGAAGCAAGACCTGAGTTGGGAGCACATGGAAGAGGTGGAGTTGAAGGAGGATCCCCAGCTCAAAACCAGGAAGTTAACCAATGTTGAGACTTCTATATAAGTTCTATACAGCACCATCTGAGAATATCTGATTGAAAGCATGGTAGATGCAATTGAGGAGCAGTGTAAGTGTTTGTGTCAGAAGCAGGAGCAACTTGGAACTTACTGTAAGTCCAAGGCACTAGGCGAGCATTGAGGCATGGGGCATGAGATGGCATGAGATAGTTCGCTTCAAGACTTGGGTCAATGGCAGGCAGGTCCAGTAGAGCCCTCAGACGTTCAGAGTTCCAACAGCCTCGAGTCACATTGCATCGAATTGAGGATTGTTTGCTACAAAGAGTTGCCTTGCCCGAAGCACAGGCCGGCCATGCTGCAAATATGATGCTATCATCTCTATGCTACTGCGAATGTTTTGGTTCTTTTAAGGGTGATTGGTGATAATCTTGAACTGGTTGTCATCACGCCTGTAGTGGGACAGAAAACTGACAGATAGAAACAAACATGTTGCACGCATCGTTGCATCCTGTCTTGTCTAGAACTGACGCGGAAGCCAAGCTTGCTTGGCAGGAGACGCTCCTTTTTGTGCGGGCGATGAGGTCCCGACTGCGACAGGCCGTAAACCATCGTAAACCAGCATACACATGCTCTGCTGCTCCAACATTGTTTCACCCGAAAAATGCCTAGGACGTGACAGTTGGCATGATCAGACTTTTAGTTTGCTAAGGCTCAAGGATGGACCTTTTGACATTAAATGTTGCAGCAGTGCATTTGCGAGGATTCTAAGATTGGTATAAGTGTACATTGGTGTTAACTTCAGGCATTGAATGCATGATTGAATTGTGGCAGCAAAGTTGCCAGCTTGGAACTTGCATTATATGTTGCTTGGTGAAGTTGCCGTTGCTTTGTTTATTTTCCATCCTGCGACTGCGACTGGGCAAGGCACTTCGCTGGCAGCACTTGGATTCCTACCGTTTGAATGAGCACTTGTCAATCTTGTTGTTTTCATTGTCATTTGAATGAGCACTCTTAGATTGGAGGCCGTCGCTAGTAGGTTTGAGGCCATCTCATCTCATTTGAATGAGCACTTGTCGATGTTCCTTAAATTGCATGGAATCCGCACCGTCGCCCGCTTCTTGCGACCACCCCCGTTCAAGCACAAGTGCGTTGGCAGAATATGGATGGTGAAGACAGCACTTGCTGCAAGCAGTGTGGTTGAGTTGTGGGAATCCTTGATCAAAGAGCCTACTGAGGCAAGATGGGCACTGTATTATGGTCATATCATCTCATAGTTTAACTATATATTTCTGATCAAATTGCAATCTTGGTGGGACATCCTGCTGCACGACAGCAACGCGTGATCACCTGGAGCAGCTCCGCACTCAGGACACAGAGCAACTGCGAAAAGCATGCGAGCTGCGGCATTTCAACACTGCAGGCCAGCGGTGACTAGCCTACAAATGAGTTGGATTCGAAGTCCCTGCAAATGCACCTGTTACGGCCACATTTTTAAGTAACACCAAGAGCTTAGGGATTGGCTTGCTGCAGATCCTACAGGAATTGGATGGAATTAGCAAGCCATCCCAACGCGTCAGTCGAAGACCTGGGTTGAAATGAGCATCCTGCCCTGTATGTGCAAGTGCCCATGGCTCATTCCAATGCGTGCAAGTTCTTGCACCTCAGGCTCATGGACAAGCTTGGGATTCCTGCACTGCATGATGTTCTTGAGGTCATGAAATCGCGAGTTTGAACTTGTGCCCCATCTCGGTCTCCCTCCACCTTTGGGCTTGCCTCAAACAGCATGGGCCCAGCATGGGCAATGTTGGACACCTTTGGCCGTCGCAGGAAAAGACCGCGGCCAGTTGCTGGAGCTGTTGAACTCTTTTAAGGCCTAGTGACTATATGGTGAGTAGTGACGTTGTGGATGAACATGTGCACTTGAAAGTCTTATTACAACATGTTACAACATGCTTTAACCCATAGAAACTATTGGTACAGTAAATATATATATATATAAGTCTTGTGGCATGTTGCGCCGTCAAATTATTGACGGGTGTGCAAATCTGACCGTTGCGAAGCGCTTTGCAATTCCTCCAATCCCCTTCCGTCAGGTCATGCCTCAGCCAAAAGCCAGCCCGAAAGTGGAGCCCAGGACAGAAATGAGATATGGATATGTTTGATTGTTCAGGCATAACACTAGTACAGTGCTAAGCGGTTCTTGTGGGTTTGGTTTTTTGACCTTCAATGCGCTACTCCCTACAAGAATGCGTCCTCAAACTAGGTGTTGGGCCCTTCACTAACCCTCATTCACCTGTAAGCGAGGGGTCCAAGCACTGTTTAGGGCACCATGCTCAGGGTTACCAATTGATCATGGTCAATGTGGATGGACTAAGAACGATAAAGCTCAATATCATGTAAATGCTTATCCTGGATCTGCGGCCCTTGGTCCTGGTACGATTTTTCAGGCAACTAGGTCCAACCTGAACAGTTGTATGCCAACGTTGACCATTTAAGTTCAAAGCTTCTGCAGTCTCTTACCTCATGACTCTGACCAACCTTTTTGGGCCGTGTGCACCAATCTTTTGAAACGTCTTACACGTCTTTTTGCATGTGCGTGCCGCCCAAGTCAGGAGCAGCGTATGTATGTTCAATTGTTCCTCCCTTTGTGTTGGTTGCTTTTGGTTGTAATTGTATTTGTGGTACTTCTTCACGGTCACTGTCCTGAATGTCTCCATAAGTCTCCATTCATTCTACACATCTCGATGAATCTATACCAATGTCTCTCCACCGGTCGTACGCAGAGCAGAATGTCTCCAAGTCGCGTTTGCTGGAGGAAGGCGCCTAAGGCCTCAGCAAAGTCCTCTGCCACCCGCCAAGCGCCGCGGAATGTGCGCGAGGTGGAGACAGAGGAGCGGCGAGAGAGGTGTCCATGTACACTCCCCAAGGCTGTGCTGATGAGAAAGTGCTTGAAGGTTCACGCTTCATTCTTGAAGAAAATGCTTGATCATTCACGCTGTGATGGTCGCAAGACGACAAACACTAGGTCCAAAATGGTCCAATGGCTTACCAGCGTTGTGCCAGGACTTTGGTGAAGGATACCCTCCCTGGATGAGCGAACGCGTTCGCAAGGCTTGTTCCAAGTACCCCAACTTCTCGGGAAAGTTCATTCAAGAAATGGAAGACGCTTGGGGAACATCATCGAATCTGTTGGCATGTGTCCAAAATCCACACTGGACCAGCGAAATCTGACCAATGACTTCCTGTCGGACCTGTCGTTGTGGCATAAGACGCACAGGGAACAAAGACTGTTGTTCAAGCCCCATCTTCTGAAGCAAGTGACTTACTGTAATCTGGGAAAATCCTCACAGCTAAGGATTGGTCTTTGCAGGCCGGACCGCTTTGGGGTTTGATTATATATATAATACATGTTTGACTGCGGCGCAAACCTCTGCGTTGAATCGTGCCTGTACTACCTTTCGTATCATTCCCTCATGATTTTGCCTGGGCTAATGCACAAGATTGGGTCGAGGATGTGGAGATGTACCTTTACTCCAATGGGTTCCTGAAGCCGAAGAAACAAGCGCAAGTTCCTGCTCTGCAGGAAGCTTTTGACGGCTAGTCATATGCGATGGGTTGGATGATGGGAGCCGCCTTTGGCCAGCTCAAACTCTTTTTTGGGTGCTCTTCGAACCATGCATCGCGATTCAGATCTTATGACACATGATGAAGTGAAAACGTTAGTCATATCATGTCATGTCATGTCCAACAGATACCGGAAGGCACTGTTGCTGCAGTTGCTTTTAAATGCGTTCGGCGTCCAAGGCCAAGCCGAAGCCTTCACGCTCACATTACCAGCTCCTTGGGGTGGAGGAGGGTGCCAATGCCAGCGAGGCCGAAGCTGGCGTGTGTGCTCCCCCCATCTCTCGCCTTCAACTATGCACAATGATTGCAATATGAATATGCTTTAAACTTTACGGGCCAAAGAGAAGGTGTTCGAGGTGTTGCTCATCTACATACATTGGTGACATATTTTTCACGACATGGTTTTCTTGGACAGCACCAGCCACACTTCCCCTCGCTGCCAGATCCGCAAAGCTTACAGACGGCTAGCCTTGATCTATCATCCTGACAAGAACCCAGAGGATCCGGAGGCAGCTGCGGAGACTTGTCCTGAAAGTCCGAGAGTGGTGCAGTTGGCAAGACGTTCTAATGGTTCCAGTGGGGCATTTGGCAAAGCTAGAGCACACACAAATATCCCAGCTTGACGTTGTGAGGCTAAGCATGTCACTGAGAGATCTGTGTGAAGGCAAGTTTCCCAGCTCGTTGAGAGCTGGACATGTAGCAAGGAATCCAGAGCCCTGTCTAAAAGAACACCGTTTTTGGTCCCTCATGTCACAAGTTTCATGAACATTCGTGCCGATAACATTTGAGGCACAAGAGAGGACGCTTTTTGTTGAAAGGTGAGCGGGTGCCGTGAATGCTTGGAAACCAGCCCCCATGACTTTTTTAACGTTTGAAGCCACCGGACCGGTGAGTGATCGATTGTCGCATTTGTCATGGCCCATTCACGTGTGGACCCATCAAAAGGTGAATGTGCCGCGCTTGCTCCCCGAGTTTGAAGGCAAATTCCGACCGGCCAGCCCATCCGGCAGTGATGCTTGACTTTGACGAGGTTGAGTTGCAGCCGGCATACAGTTGAGAGCTCTGCCAAGCCTGCGCTGAGCATGGTGCACGTGGTGGTACCTTCAGCGATGATGGATGGTTGGATGCCAAGGTGGTGGAGGATATTGGAGGATCAGTGCATCTTTGGCACTCAGCTGCACATGACGCGCGGTATCTTTTTGACAATGGACAGAGTTTGGCAGGCCCCCAATCGCTGGGGGTGAGAACTTCTGGCAAAAGGGCCGCACGCCCGCTCGCGCTGCGATCTGCCAATGCCAATCCAAAGAGGCTATCGAGAAGGGTAGAAGAATGATCCTTCGACCCTGGAAAATTCGTCTATGCATACCAGGAGTTCAAGCGCAAAAACGACAGATGGGGCTGGCACCATCATTGGCAGGGAAGGCCAAAACTATTGGCGCGCACATGAAGCCAGTGTGTTTTCTGCGCCCCCGGGCACTTGAGAGCAGCCACCCGTGAACAGATCAATGAAGGCTTGCGGACTAAGATGCCATGAAAGAGTTTCAGGCGCCGCCCCAAGACGAAACCAACGATGAGTATGCGACGATGTGCCCTTGTCCATCAAGAAGGGTCACACACCTTTTCTCACAAGATGGGCCATCTCTCCTCGGGGCGAAACATTTAGAGAAAGAGTTGCCGTGGCATGCCGACCACAGCTGAAAGCCGTGAGAGCACTGTCCTTGCATGAGAGCGATGAAGGAAAATCCTGAACCCAAGATTCTTCAACAGGGGCACGAGCTATGCAGAGAGGAAGGCCGACAAGAAGTTTGGCCTTCAAAATAACGGATTTGCAACAGAGGCGGTGGTTCATGGAGGTGAGACCATGAAGTGCACTTCATCCACAGAGTGTGATCGAGCCTGCGTCTTCATGAAGGGCTCTGGCGCTCTGGCCAAAATACTCCAGCCATGTGCTTGCCCCACGTGGACGACATCATGTTATATAGTTGTGGAGAACAGCCTGAAGGTGCAAGACAAGATCAAAATACGCCTGGAAAACGACAAGTTCAAATATGTGGGACGCGAGTGTGATCTTGACCGTATCCTTGTCAATCAAAAGGTCGACACTTGTCACAGGGTGGACAAAGTAAACATCCCAGACCGCGCGCCTAAAACCACTGCGGAGCAAAAACAAGAGAACTGACCGCCATTGGATGCCTGTCGTGGTTGGCAAAACAGACATCTGCAGCTTGCAACTTGCCAGGCCCCACACAAACTGCAACGGGCCACGGTGGGCGATCTCAAAGCAACAAGAAAGATCATCCTTGCCAACCAGATGTTCAAAGACAAGGGCTCCAAGCTCTGCAAGATCAAGGAGGAGGACATGTGCATTTTGGTATATCATGACGCCGCGTCGCTCGTAGACGGTTGGGGCCCCGCACTGTGGCCACCCTCATCCTTATAGCTGACAAGGCGAGGCGCCTCATGTCAGAAGGAGGTCGCTTCAGTGTGATAGAGTGGAAACACAAAGCCTCGCGACAGGCGTGCCGCCCGACATTCACAGGTGGACGGCAAAGGGTATTGGCTACATGGTGGATGCAAAGGCAAAGGCTGCGGGCAAGGAAATGGAGATCCACCTAGCGGCGGACTGCCGCGGCCCTTTTGTGACCATGTGCATCGTACAGCGACCGCCCAGCGAGAAGAGGTTGGCCATCGACCACTTCTTTGGCTCCCAACAGCTGGCATCACCTGTCTTATTCGGACGGCGTGCAAAAAACACACCTTTTCGGTCCCAGGCATCGTGTCACAAGTTTCATGAACATTCGTGCCAATAGCGTTTGAGGCACAAGAGTGGACGCTTGCTGTTGAAAGGGGAGGGGTGCTCATGAGTGCTGCGCAATGGCACCCTGTCTAAAGCCATTGGGGTCGGTGAAAAAGTTCGCCAACGTGTAGGGGCTAAAGATAATTTTAAACGAACCAAAAAACCCACTGGCATGGGCAATCAGGAGACTTTTCGACGACTGGCAGATGCCTATGAAGCTTTGATGGCTGCCGCCGACGTGGAAGATGTGGCTGGCTAATGTTTGTCCGGCTGGCTTCGGAATTATATAATTCAATGCAGGCTGCGCTTTGCTACACTGCCCGCCGGGCACTCCCTACAGTCCAATGCGCAAAATTGTTGTAGATGTTGTCTAGAAGATTTTAGAAGTATCATTCAAGCTGTGGCCATCCGTTGTGCTTAGTGTTGTGTTTCTGTTGAACCTTGGCAAGCTTCAGTACAGCTGGATAAGGGTGTGCCCGTCGCAGCTTTGCGGGTATGGACGGTTATATGAGCCTGATCAATAATTATGTCCTTCTGAACAGAATGGGTGCCCGAATGGCCCCCACGTGGAGTTTCAACTCATAGCGCGATGTAGCACGCAAAGTAGCGAGTTGCATGTTCCAACATTGCCCAAGCTCTACTTTGACTTGGTGTCGTTTGCCGTGGCATGCCGTGGCCATCCGTGGCTTGAGGCTGTGCACCAGGAAGGTTGCAACGTGCACCTGCCTCAGAACTCAACTTAGCCCAGCCACTGGCAGCAGACCGTGCGGACCAATTCTAAATTTTCCAGCCATCGGATGAGGCCGGTTTCCAACCAGCCACAGGCCGTGCCGTTCAACTTCATTTTGGTCCACGCCTGCAACATTGCAACACCTACAGTTTCCATATGTTGCCATTTGCAACTAATTAGTAAACATTCATAATAATAGCAACAACGGTTAAAAAATGATCAAGATCAAAGGCTGAATCGCCTGCCTGTTTGTTCTGGCGATTTGGATTGAAACCAGTCGTTTGACGTCAGTAGAACAATGCAGTTGCATTGTATACCATCATGCATTGTCCTGTTACACTTTCACTCTTCGAGACGGTCGCTTCCTTGCAGGCCTCGGTTCCACAGGGTGTGGTCCTCAGTGATTGCGCTGTGGGGGGCCATTCTCACTCCCAAAGTTTCAGCACGGGCGCTGTTTCGCCTGGACGGTCGTGATTGGGAAGAACCCTTCTTGAAACAATTGAAGGCAACTGTACTCCCCCAGATAAGAAACAAGCGAAACAACGAGGGCGGTGAGACGAGCTAGCATGTTTGCTCAACGACAAAGGGGGCAGAAAAAGTGGAAGAGACTTCCAGATGAATTTATACTTAGCAATTTACAGGAGGTTGATTTGCCGCAAACTTCAGGCACATTTGGTCAATTCTTGAGACTTGCTTTAACTTTGTCAAGATCAAATCTCCCCTCACGAAATGCATATTTCCAGCCCAACTTTCTGGGCAGGGGTAATATACAATAGTTTTATAAAATTTATGTTGTGTAATATATTATATATAACTATATATATATGTATCTCTCTTCAAATGTTTCTTCCAGGGCACTACTGCAATGCCCCACATAGCAACCACATTGATTGAAGAGGTCTAATCCATTGGAGCTATCCCAGTGGTTGCCGTGTGCATTTATAGCATCATGAACTCACATGGAATTGCTCAGGTGTACCGAGCCGCACTCCCGAGGCCATCGCAGTGTTTTGAAGAATGCGACTACTGTATCCCAACCCACAAACCAACGACATGTTACGAAGGCTGCATGTAAGGCTGCATATAGATACGTCGTGCTATTGTGTTCCATGTTACTGCAAATGCAACTTCCAGGGTCCGGCGCAAGGCTCTTGGAAATGACAGACTGGCATGATATGTAATGATGTGTGCCTTCTCCATCCGCACCTTCCTGCTGGTCAGCGGCAGCTAAGCTAAGGAGCCCATACTGCTCTGGATCGAGCATGTCTTGAGTTCATGACCTCATCATGCTCCATGATGCTCAACAATGCTTCATGTCCATCACACCTTGCCGCCAGGCTTTGGTGAGGCCTCAAAAGCCCAGGCCAGCAGTTGCCTTGACCATTTTGCCCAGAGAGCGCGATTTCAATGACCTTTCGTTACCTTCCATGATCAGAGCAATGACCTGTTTGAGTTGCAGTGAGATAGCCTAACTGAAGGCCTCCACCAGAGGAAGTGACCTTGCTCCGGCGGATGCTCAGAGACGCTTGCTAGCATTTGATGCGGCTCTGCCACCTCGCAGAACTTGGGTGGACGTTCACCGTCAACAGGTCTTCATGTGCCACACCCTGTGCTTCGATGCCATAATTATTGTATTGATGTCCTACCTTGAGTCAATGATTTATCGATGATGTACATTGTTCTTTCCATGCGCAGAGGAGAAGAGAACCAAGCGGCCGTCAGTGCTATACGCAATGAGCTGTTTGCATATACAAGTGTGAAATTAGTAGTCTATTCAGCACGGCTGGATGATCTCTCACTTCCCCTTCCCACTAGTTCCCCTGTAGAGCCCAGGGTGGAAGCTCGATAAAGAAGCAAGCTTTGTAGGCTGTTGTTGGGTTGTTTTCAAGGTAGTGTTGACTCTAATCGTAATGCTTTGGAACCCAGCTCTTGGGATTGCTGCCAGAGACCTATTTCTGGATCACTTGGAACACCGAGGAGCACCGACAGGCTCAGCTGGATTCCTCACCCAGGCCGCCTGAAACATGCTAGTAGCTTCTTGTTCCTAGTAGCTTCTTATATATATATAGTAGTAGTAAGGCCAGGAGCCCCTAGTAGCGTCCTTGCTCCTAGTAGCGACGCCAGGGGCCCCTAGTAGCTTCTTGTTCCTAGTAGGCCAGGAGCCCCTAATGCCCTTTGCCACTATCTTGCATACTATACCATGGGATGGTCAGCCAGCTGATGGGGACACAACTTGTTGATGCGTTGTGTCATTCTAGGAGGCATGCTGCTTGTTGCCCGACCTGCGAGGTCAACTGGCACACCCCGGCGCCAGGAAGCAACTCAAGCCTGGCCTTCAATCTTGCAGCCATAGCCTTGAAGGAACTGAGTGAAAATGATATCCTATCGGTGTTTCATCATGGCATTTCTGGCACATGTTCAGTTTCTTGGACAGCTTTTGGCCTCGCCCAGGCGACGATCGCTGCAGCGGCCCATGTATCCCATGTGGAGGTCTGCGCACCTTGAGATGTGATTTCTTGAGCGCAGCGCATGTTCTTTACACCTGCATTGGCGTTCAAGACCAAGGGGTTCATGTCACTTCTAGATTTGCGATGTAGGCTCGGGGTAAGCCCAAATTATCCTTTTAAACTCTTTTTCGTATATGTAGATATAGATACATCTCTCTCCTACAAGATGGAATGCAGTTTTGGAGACCCAAAAGCCACTCGACTGAAAAAGGTACCCGCAACCGCGGATACTTTTGGCCAAAATTTTGGACACTCTAGATATATAATTATCAATTATTATCAACACTTATCGACATCTGCGGTATATGCGGGGGATGCATTGACTAAATGTGGAACGTGCTTGCAATTGTTTTGAGCCATGCGTAGGCACAGGAACTTGGAATGCTGGTCTGTAGCTGTGACACGAAACTGAAAGAAACAAACTATATTTTCCAAAATGTATGTAGCATTGAAACTTGGCATGCCCAAAAAATGGACGGGGGGTGTGCAGTGAATGAGCATTTGCGTTAAAAGATGCCGGCATTCTAACTTTCAGCTGTGGTGCGTCTAAGCGTGGATATTTCAACGCATTGTCCTTCCCACTTGGAAACATTTTATGTCGTGGAAAACCATAGGACTCCCACAAGTGTGAATTCTGCAAGGAAGAGACGACAATGAATTACATGTACTGTATTTCGTATATTTAGTTGGGTGATCGAGTTTCCATATTTGACCTTATCGCTCGCCCACAGCACTGAGGACTGTCACACTTCCTATACACATCCGAACTTCCTGCTGCAGGGCATCTGAAAATGCTTGCCAGGAGGCAATTCCAACTTTTAGTGGACGGACTGGGCCCGTCTTCTGGCCTTTGCCCTTCTTTGCCAGTGCAGTCCCGGCCTTTTCTCCTCCACTTCTTTTTCATGAGCCTTGTTGACATGCTGCTTGTTGTGACGAATTCCTTTGAAAAAATGTTTTCCATTGGCATTTCCCTCCTTTTTGGACACTGTCTAGTGTATGCTTTCGAGTCGCGGCATTCAAAGTATGCCCGTTCGCTTCTACGTTTTCCTGCGCTTTCCTTTCTCTCCATCCTGGCCATGTGTTTTCTTTGTCTACCAAGAGTCTCGGCAAGCTGCCCAAAAGTCACGTTAAGCCCTTGGCATCGAAAGTCAAAATTCTAAGTTCATGCGATTGCGCATGGGCTTGGTAGGTTCCACGACTACATACAAAGAAGTTGAAAACGCTGGCAAAACACAGTGAACATCGTGTTTCTGTTGCACTTTCGGCTACAAATTCCTTGTACTTTTAACCCTTTTGTTGACTTCTGGATTTCCAAAATTGCATTCCATCTTTTGTTCGGAAAATGACACGCCGCGTAAACATATGTATAATATCCCGGCAAGAGACCCCAAACAGTGTGTGTGAGGTCTAGAGGTGTAGCAGCAGAAAGTCTAGAAATCTAGACGCATTGCGGTCCAGAGAGGTAATGGTGGTGATGAAGGCGGAGATCGTGGTGATGGTGGTGGTGGGTGAGTGAGTGAGTGAGTGAGTGAGTGCGTGAGTGCGTGAGTGCGTGAGTGCGTGAGTGCGTGCGTGCGTGGGTGGGTGGGTGAGTGAGTGAGCGTGTGTGAGCGTGTGTGTTGAGAGTGAGTGAGAGTGAGTGTGAGTGAGATTGGAGAGAGTGAGATAGAGTGAGAGCGTGCTGAGTGAGAGTGACTGAGAGTGAGAGTGAAAGTGCGAGTGAGGGAGAATGTGAGGGAGAGCGAGTGACAGTGAGAGAGTGAGAGTGAGAGTGAGAGAGTGAGTGGGGGTGAGAGTGAGAGGGGTGTGAGTGAGAGTAAGTCAGAGTGTGTGAGTGAGAGCGAGCATCTGAGAGCACAAAGTGCTGCGCCTGCCACGAAATCTGCACTCTGACTTCACAAAATGCGGCGCCTGCCACGAAGTCTGCACTTCGAGGTTCACAAAGCGCTGCGCCTGCCACATGCACTTCGAGTCGAGAAGCATGAAATGCTCTGTAAATAACAGCGAACTAGCCGTACCCGACCGCGCAACACCTCGATCAGACACCGGTGCTTGACGACAAGTAAGAACCCCTAGTCTGTCCACACTGATTGGGGAATTTAGATGGAAACTGCATGACCCAACACATCTACATGCTGAAGGCAACTTGCCCGTCAGTATTGATGGCTTGGTGGCCCACACCTGACATTTAGACTGTCTTCGAAAGACGCCCTCAAAACTTTCAATAATGTAGGCTGCGGGTACTTTCAATAGTGGTATTCTAAGTTTGCCTCACTTTGTGGAAATTGGCAACATTTTTTCAAAAAATTACAGAAATGAGCCTCTCATGAGGCCAAGCCGCCGTCCGAGCCCTCAATGGCGCGACGTTGGAATGCTGCGACCTGAGAAGGTCTGGAGAACCCGTGTTGACTCTTGATCCATTTGTTTGAATTCCCATGCAGAAGACATTGGCTGCATTGCCACCTGATGAACGATCAGCACTGGATTGAGGCCGAATGTGCAACAGCCTTTCTTGGCAGATGCCTTGCAGAGCCCCAGCTGCATAAATAGACAGTTTTCTTGACTAGTTCTTATTCTCATCTCAGCATATATTTTCCAAGAGGAAGGACATGCAGATGTCAAAGGCTCGCCAGATGTTTCTACAGACGCCAAAGGGCATTCGGCACCCCGTAACTTCACTAATTATGCTTTCCAGAGGAGTCAGACCGGCTACGGTGTGAGAATTGTTTTGAATCAGTACTGTGTAAAAGTAGGCAGGGAACCTGCTCGTTCCACGCGTTTTAGGCATCCTGATTGGAGTCATGTTGCCTTCGGAGGCACAGGTCCGCAGCATCCAGACCAGCTTCTCCACCTCAGCCTGTTCCCAAGAGACTGTACGCCTTTACAATAATCCTATATAGATATGATTTATATATACAATAATATACATTTATATATATATCAGGACATACATATATTGCGCCGCCTTTCTTTGCCAATCTTTGGACTTGCGATAGCACAAGGCCTTGAGTGCGTTTGATACAACGCTCTGGCGTGAATGACATTTGCCTTCGACTGGCAGGAAAAGGAACTGCTTATGCAGTTGATTGGTGAAAGCTGTTCCGTTTGTTTGTGGGTGACCTACATATAGTAGCTGACCAACCTCAGAAGTCTCTCGCAGCAAAAGGATAGAGGTTTGCAGGAAGCTTAGGGTCTCCCTTGCAAACTCTGAAGCATCAATCAAGCAGTGAGTGAGCCAGGTGGTCAGCTAGAGTGGTGAGCCGGTGAGTAATGCATAGCAATGCGGGCGTAGCATTTTTAGAATGTAAAATGTGTGCTTGAGGCCAATACATCGGCAACGAGGACTTCAAGAGGCTCAAGAGCGGCTACATGAGGCCAAGGCACACTCCGTTGCCATGAAACGTGGTGAGTTACAAGCACTGCGGTTAAAATTAAAATGCTCGCATGTGCTCAACGGCACAGCAGCCAATCGCAGAAATGTACACCGAATGAGTTCTGAGAGCAGGTTTCCGGCAGCATGCTCAGAGGCTTAGAGAGTCAAAAGCGTCAATTATTATGTAATGCAGGCAAACGTTGGAAATACAAGCGGCTGCGGATGCATACCGTTCTCGCGCCATTCTGCGTTTGTTTTGAGCGTTGATCCTCCATTCCTCTCCTCGGTTTCACTTGGATACGGCCTTGCTACATTGTTTGTGATAGGCATACCAGGAGCTTCTAGAGTTGCAAGAGATACAGCGGCGTTTGCAACACATGGGGCTGGAGGAAGCCCAAGTTGTCATGGCCTGAGTTTATTTTTGCAATGCTTTTTGGGGCAGCTGTTTATCACATCAGATCATGCCAAGGCAATAATTGCTCGCTAAATAGCAAAGAGATTATGTGTCCAAAGTTTGCTTGTTTGTGCTGCCGTTCATCACCTTGCAAAAGTTCAATGAGCAATAGTCGGAGAGCCCGTACTGCTGCTTATTAGCTACCAGAGCAAAACGCACTGTTAGAGCTATTGCTGCCTCAATTCTGTTTCACAGCAAGGCACCCCTCGTTTGCAGTAGTATAGTCGCGACAAGGCAACATCAACCTATAATCAATACCCAGTTTCAGGTCAATGAACATCCAGCGGCTGCAAGTGGAGGCCTCATTTTTATCAACGCTGGCAAATGACCAACGATGTTTTCTTGAGTGTGGATTGTGGAGGTTGACTTTGGTTTCAATACTGAACGAAATGGCGAAATGCTAGATTATGTAATTGTCACACTGGTTCGGGCACTTCTTGAAATCCTATGTGCCAGGCAGTAGCTTCAGATCATGGATGCCAGAGCGGCCGGTTGAGAAATCGCCCGACATGCTGGTTCCTGAGACAGAGACACCATGTTGAATGTAGGTTTGGGCGGTCACCCTTTGGTTCTGAATGCAATTGAGTTAAGCAGGATGGATTGGACAAGGTTCATGTTATTCAAGACTGCACACTTGTATGAGTCATGTGAGTGCTTGAGCAATTAACATCAATTAACAGTTTAACAGATGCATTGGCGGATGCATCTCCGTACGGGGCAGAATGATGTCTTAGCTGTCATCACCAGAGTTGTGGGGGCCACCTAGAGACTAAATTCATGAGCCAGTGCTTCTCATTCTCACCAGACCTACTTTTCGATACCTGTCATGCACAGAGATTGTTGGTGTGAGTAGGTGAATGGTACAGGCTGAAGAGAGTTTTGAAGATAGTTTTCGGAAGATTCCAGCAGGCACCATGTGGTAGAGTTGTGCGGTGTAGATGTTGGCTTTCTCCAAAGAAGAGAGCCCATTAATCTCTGGCAATCCCAAGGCCAAACGTCCGCTTTCCTCAGGCAGCAGGCCTATATGCGCTTGTGATTCGCGTATTGTGCAGGGGTTCCGCAATGGTGTCCAGTGGCGTTTGACGGGACGCCTTCGAAAGCTCACTCACATCCCTTTTGCTTCCACCGATGGTGCAATTTGATTCTACTGTTGGCTGCAGGTGACGGCCCGCAATGGGGCGACTTGCAACTGCAGCTGCACGAACAGCCCTTTGGCAAGAAAGGAATGGGGCATGATCAGCATCTCATCATCTACTATTCAAAGGTGGGAGCATTGGTTGGCGGCAGCTTAGTCCGTTCCAGCCTTTTTGGTCTAGACATAGCAAGCATGGGCGTAGTCGTATAGTGCCACTCAGTTTGGCATCCTAGTGCTCGATTCCTGTCCAACATTCCACAATCATAATCTCCACTGCCTCTTGACAGATCCTATTAGGTTGGAGGCCATTGCTAGTAGGGTGGAGGCCATTGCTATTATTAGGTTACAATTCGAAGGCCACATTTGAGGCTCGAAACGCTGCGGCAAAAGCTTCGCAGCCACTCGACAAAAGAGCTGAAGACGGAGGCCATCAAGGCAGATGCTGATATTTGGCTTAAGTTGTTGAGTGCCAGGTGCCAAGTGAGCTGTAATATGTAGAAGGAAGGGAGTAATGAGCAACTCCATCATGCATGATCAGCCCTGCAGAAAAGCAACCATACATGTAATTATACAGTAATATTTTGGGAACAGGGAAGGTGGGTGCGTTGCTGCACTTTGCAACCTGAAAGAGAGTTGGGCCTCAGAGGACTTGCAGACCATCATGGGCGGGTGTCCAAAAATAGTTTAAGATGCATCATGCTAATTCACGAAGATTGTGTGTGGCTGTCCTCGTCCCGTTGGTGCAAGGCAGATCGTAGCCTTGAGGCGCAGGCAGGATTTGCTCGGGTGCTCAGGTTCCTGTACATCAACTAGCGAGGTTGTTCACACACACACACACATCGATAGAGAGTTCATCCGAGTGATAATCCGGAAAGGAATGCTGTGGAGTATTTATACATATAGTTAGTGCAAACCCGGCGGCTGCATTAGACTCAGACCTTTACTGGAGAGTGGAGTGAACAGCTTGCACAAAAGTTCAAAAGTCCCAGGTATGCTGATCAGTCCCAGTATCACCAAGGCTTAGAGAGTGTCTTCGTTGGTGGTAGGCTCTTTGCCTTGCTACCACCCCCCTGCTTGAAAGTGGTCTGACAAAGAAAGGGACCCTTTGGTACAGTGTGGGGCACACACACACAGAGCGCCGCATTGCAGCGCGAACTTGCATTAAGAAGGTAACAACGCAGTAGACAGCTTAGGAAACACTTAAGTTCTAAAAAGTGAATACTTAGCCCTTGACTGGAAAAACGAATACTTAACACTTGACTGAAAAAGCCTGGTTACACACCTGAAAAAGCCTCTAGAGAAGGTCAGAGCTAGAAAGAAAAACAAAAGGCAAGAGAGAAAGAAAGAACCCATGGAATGTATATATTCCTGAACATGTGAATGAAATATCCGTTGAAAGATTCGTGAAAATCCGTAGGCTCGGCGGCTTAAAAGCAGTTGATCCGTGAAGGACAGTTGAGCTGTTAATGGCAACCCGATGCAGAGACGGCTGAAAGTGGCAGTCCGGAATCCGGAAAGGTCTCAGCGCCCGTTGCGGGGATCACGCTACGCACCCAAGTGGGAAAGCGTAGCAATACACACTTCGATAGGGAGTTCATCCGAGTGAATCCGGAAAGGAATGCTGTGGAGTATTTAGTTAGTGCAAAGCCGCAATTCTGGGTCGGTCAATTTGAAGGTGGTATAACAAATGCCAATCAGCTGCAAACGGCAGAGCAGCGGCTGCATTAGACCTTTACTGGAGAGTGGAGTGAACAGCTTGCACAAAGGTTCAAAAGTCCCAGGTATGCTGATCAGTCCCAGTATCATCACCAAGGCTTAGAGAGTGCCTTCGTTGGTGGTAGACTCTCTGCCTTGATACCACCCCGTGCTTGAAAGTGGTCTGACAACGAAAGGGACCTTTTGGACAGGGTGGGACACACACACACACACCAACACACCACAACAAAAGGGGGTTCCATGAGACGTGCGCCGGATTCTTTATCAAGGTGTTTGCCTCAAAGTCGCTTGAGTGGATATTTGAATTTTTGGTGAGGGACAGCTAAAATTCCAAAGATCATGTTTGCTTGACACAGGGTCTTAGTGTCACAGGGTGTTTCAGGTGTACATTACAGTGTCTATATTATTCTAAATTGTTTATGACGAAGTATGACACCAAGCTGATTACCAAATTGGAGGCACAAAGGCCCTTTCCATGTGAGGCTTGTGCCCCATTGAACTGGAAAATGTCACGTCTAAGGCAGAGTTCATGAAGCGCCAGCACGACTCCTTGGCTGAGCGGCTTTTTCAGTCTGGGTTCATTCCAGAGCCTTGGCTCCGCCTGAGTCGTTGTTGCAGCTACCTTTTTCCTTGAAGATTTGAAGGCGTGATCGCGAGGAGATGGCATTTGCTTGTTGTGCACCGCGTTCACTTTCCCAGGGCATTTCTGGAGCCTCTGTTGCTTCTAGGCTTGGAGCATGTGTCGCGCGTTTTTGTAGCGCGGAGCATGGCACGCAACAAAACATGACTCACATTCCGCTTCGAGTCGGTCTTCCAATATATAATTTAGCCAGGAGGTTGACCACACTTACTGAACACATCCAGACTTTGCAACATGGCTTAACGGTTTAACTCTGTTGAATGGCAGCAGCTTAGCCATTGTTCCCCCATTGTCGTGTCAGCAGCTTCACGGCGCTCAGGAGTTGAACGCCTCATCTGGAAGCATGAGCACGGTCCTTCCCACGCCGATGCCTCAGCTCAGCTGAGCTGAGATTTTTTTTGACATGAAAGGGTTTATAATTACAAGATGTAACCTTCAAAAGGCTGGCGTAGGCAACCTGCTTGGGGACGTAGGCGGTCGTAGGCATTGTATGGTCTAATGTTTGCCGTAGGCGACTGAAATCGACTGAAATAGCATGCCTTGAAGTCACCCAGCTTGCGTTTCTGATTCAAATTAGAATTGACAGTGTTTTTTTTGTTTCAGTTTCTTGTAGCAGATGTCTTTCATCCCATAGTCTGAGACATGAACCCGGGGCAGTTTGCAAGGGCACCTAGAATGACCACCAGAGAAACACGCAAGACATTGCAATGCAACCACACTGCCAAGACTACCCGGGAGGTTAGAAAGGCCACTGTTTCTGTGTAAGAGGTGAGAACTCCCAACAATGTCCCAAAAAACTCTTTTGTGTTGTTTTCCTGGGGACATTTTCCGTAGGCTCACCGTAGGTTCTCCGTACAGGCACCGTAGGCGAAAATGAATTTTTTGATCCTCCCCCCATGTCCGCTTGCCTATAATAGTACTCTCAAATAGATGTTAAAACCTGCTGTTCTGAGATGTATTCCCAATGTCGAAGACATGGGGAGACTATACGCGTCAGTGCACGTTCCGCATGGTATCGTCCCTCGCCTCCGAAGTAATGTCCAAAACTCATGATGAGCGTGAAGTCGTTGCTTGCTTGTCTTCCGTTGTGGAGCACATAGCCAATGAAACCAACTTGCCCATCGTAGAGTGCCAAGCTCATCATCTGAAAGATAAAGGGTCAGCTGCTGCGTAAACGTTTCCACTCGCAAGAACTGCATGGTACCGTAGGCAAATTGGAACAGTAATGCTCCAAAACCTCACGTTCGTAGATTTCCCGTAGGCGATGTGGAATAAGCCATGTCTGCCGTAGGCTTTCACTGTGGAAACGTAGCCAAACCATGCCAAACCGTAGGGTTCTACGTAGGCACCCAAGGATGATAACACCACCACATCTTTGCTGTTTTTCAGTCATCGGCAAAGAACATCAGCATGGATGGTCTGAATCAGCTTCAGAACTGTGCTCCAGACTCTCACCATAGGGTGCAGCCTGCAGCAATGTTTGTAAGACACGGGTAATGTTTATCAGTTTATCATGTCTCCTGTCTCCTTTCTTACCATCGCACAAAGGATCCCAGATTGCACGATACAGTGGAATCACGGTTTCCCGTGTGCATTACTTTTGCACAGAACATGTTTATGCTGGCCACACCCAGCGGAGAAGAGACTAATACTGGTAGAAGAACGAGGCAGAGATAGAACCAAATGAACCAAACATCACACTGTATATGAATTCCAGTTCCTCAAAGCAAGTCGTTTCAGTGGGCTTTGATTAAGTACCAGAGATGAGGCGTTCCAGATAGAGGTAGTAACTAGAAACATGTAGATGAACCCGAAAAGCTGCAGCTTCACACATGGGATCACAAGGGCCCTCAAAGGTAAAACTTCCACGTATCAATACTTCTTCATCAAACTGATAAGTAGGAGCGGAAAGCATGTTCGGGTCAGAGATTCCTGCTCGAAAGAACATGTTGATTCCCAATAGTGTGGGGCCTTTGACCGAGTTTTGAGTCCTCGATTCCTGAGTGCATTTGATTGCAGAACTGGTTTGAAGTTTCCGACTCGCGATTCGAATTGGGAAAGGCCTTCAAAGTTCACAGAATCTGGGGCACAAGCACTAGAATCACCTAGAAGCCTCCATTAGAGGTGCAAGACAAGATTTGTTTGGAGCCTTGGTCAGCTTATTCTCCGGACACCTCAAAACACAAGATAAAACAAAAGCCACAAGCGGCACATACGGCATACGCATGAAGAGCTTCCTTCACTTGTAGTTATAGTTGCTTGAACAAAGGGTTCGGAGCCCCATACTGAATGTACCTGCCTTTCACCATGGCAACACAACCTTCATTTCCAGCAAGCGCCCAGGCAATAATGTGTACTGCGAGGCGCATCCAACAAAAATCCGGTTTTTCGGTCCCATAGTGCAGGTTACGTAGGGCCCATAGTCCGAAGCCGCACTGCTCTTAGGGGTCGCCACGAGAGCGAGGACACGGAGCAGCGAGAGTCGGAGCCGCAACTTGGAGCGATTTCAGTACCTTTGCAACGCGACAGTTCAACATTTTTGTGGAAAGCTGTCATGTCCACTGGTTCTGATCTTGCTTGGTTTGGGTGGTTCAATGGTATTGTGAACTGTTCTTTCCCCCTCAACTGAACAGCCACTATACTGATGCTGTCATCCATCGTTTCGCTAGCTTGGCCGATTTGAGGGCATCACCAGAGCTGAGCCAACTGTCGGGGTGCTTGAGGTGGGATTGATTCTTCCTCAGCCAGCATGGAGGTACACCCAGGATATTTGAAGAATCGCCAAAGCTGCCGCCTGTGCACGGCCTGTTTGAATCACCATCCTACATGGAGTTCATTAGGATACTATGGTCCACCGCAACCACTTTGGGGTCACACATTTGCAGTGCAAGCAGTTAGTGTTCCTATGCGTCCGACTTGCCATGAGGTTGCATCCTGCTGCAGCGCCCGTGTCTCGGCAGAAACCAAAGGGTTTAGTTTTGATTCCTTTAAGCAGTGTCTCTGGCTGGGTTTTTGACCTCATACGGAAGCAGAAGCAGGACAGTGGCCAAGAATGCTTGTGGTAACTTGTGCCTCCACTCAAGGAGTTGCTGAGGGACTGGCACTTCCCTCAAGGGTTTGATGGCTCACATTGGCATTGCAAGAAAACACTATTCGATTTGAGCTGACAGTTCAGTTGGCAAGTGGAAAGGAGCAGAAGTGGGCTTTGGCTTCGGACTCGCTGTCAGTGAGTTGCACTTGGTGTTGGCAGGTTGAAGCTCAGAGGAAGGCTCAGAGGCGGGGTCGCCCGTCAAGGGGTTCTTTGAGTACAGTAGTTGTTCAATGTTTTGCCAACACTGTTTTTGCATGTGTTTGCTTTGCTGGCAGATGTGGACGTAAAAGCCTGTAGTAAGGTGGATGTGTTGTTGGAACAAAGCGCCAAGGAACTTCGGGGGTTGTTTCCGATCGCCAATGGGGACTTTGCAGGAAACGACTGTCGGCAGTAGAATCGAATTGTGTTGGAATTCTTCAGAACAACTCAAACCAGCACCCAGCGGCTCCTGTTTTGACATGCATGAAGTCCATCTCATTCATTCGGACTCGGACTTTTGGAATGTTACTCTCTTGTCAAGGCCTCAGTATTTCCAGTTGTGCGAATCCCAGCTCACCCTGCTGCGCCATCCACAAACAGCAGACACAGCTGATGCAGTTGTTTAATAAGTTGTTCCTGAGTAATGTTTTTTCCCTGCCAGGTGAGGGTTGTTAGATTTTATCAGAGCTCATCGTCTCCTTGATTACCGCACCTCAACTGCCAGCTCCAGATCGGAATGGGCTATGCGGCTATAAATTGTGTGATCGCAGTGGGCACTCCCAAACCAACTGCAAGTGCATGATCGCACTGGGCACTACCGGACTACCGGACCTCAACAGCAAGCACCCGATCGCAGTGTGCACTACCGCAAAATCGAAAAGCACAAAGTTCACGGCCATGGCAACATGCTCCTCACCATGGCATGAAGACAAGTGATTGAGTCGTCATGGTGGGGATCGCTCGAAGTAAAGTATATAGTTGTATTCTTCTTCTGGCTTGGACTTGTGCTGTAGATAGGCCGTTTATCGCGACACAGAGGCTTTGGAAACAAGCGAATATACAACAAGTGCCTAAAGGCACCAGGGCGCAGTGGCCTTTCACCTTGCACAATGCGCTGAAGGTCGCCAGATACGAGCCAGAACATCCTGCAGGCAACATTCACAGAACCGGAATGATTGGGCCATGACGATATTGGCCAACAGGCGGCCAACAAGTTTTTATTTCAGTTCATCAAGTTTCTCGCATTTGTTGGGCAAGTCAACTGGCAGTCAATTGCAGCACCAGGCAGGGGAGAAGGGAAGGAAGGAATGAGAGAGGAACGGACTGAGATAGAGAGGGAAAAAAGGGAGCGAGAGAGAGAGAGAGGGAGAGCATAAGGTGGAAAGACCCAGTGTGACCGATTTTTGACGGAGGTCTCACCCACCGTGCTCTTTCATTCCGGCCGCCAGCTGCGGTTAAGTAAACGTTTTGGTGATCAGCCAGGACAGTAACTCTCCTTCTTTCGATGGCTTTGAGGCTCGGGGGGCACTGTACATGTTATGTTGCATTGTGCCTTTACCCTTTGAAGTGTGAAAATTAGCCCCAGCTTCTCTTGCCCGTTTGCAGACTCAGCGCCTTTGCATTGTGCTTTGCGGACTCATATCATATCAGGCTTACCAACAGCCCTTCGTTTTAAGCCCTTGCGGTCATGCTGGAAGAGCTTCCAGCCCGGCTTCAGGACAAGCACCGTGAGAAGAATAGCTGGGCTAGTTGTTTTGGGGAAAGGGAACTCGGCACCAGTCTCACACTTTCTCGCCACGTGTTTTCGAGCAATGGGAGCTTGCAAGCGCCGACTGACCTACGGATCCTGGCATTGTATGTCCAAGACTTTCGGATCCCGAATGGTAGAACACTCGAGAAAAGATTGGAAAATGTTTGTATTTGGGGACTTGGACTTGGAGATGCAGTTTGCCCCTGATGCCAAGCCTGGAGGACTCTCGGAGAAGGAGGCCAGATTTTTTCGCACGTTCGGTGGACAAGCCATCGGCCATATGCAGATAGACATAGCCGTCAACAAAGAAGACTGAAGAACTTTCCCAGCTACTCACACTGACATGGATGCAGAGGATTCGCATCACAAAGCAGGTTCTTCACTGTGGCCATGACATCACACCGTGTGCCACGACCTGAAAGGGCTGCAGCGCACGCAAAAGCACCCCAAAAGCCCAGACATGGCCTAGCCTGGGTCATGGCTAGGAGGCGGGTCACGTGAAATCATTGTTGTCCTGATATGCAGTACCACACCTGGCCACTC